GGCAACTGAATTTGCAACTGCTCCAAATTGTTTGTTGGCAACTCCAACTTTCATTCTAGGAACAACTTCTTCTTAAAACGAGAACCTTAACACTTGAATCAGCAACTGGTCCAAATCGTTTGTTGCCAACTCCAACTTTCATTCTCATTGATTGCCTTATTGGAGGCCAAAGGACAAACAAAGAAGTGCAAATTGTTAGGGCAAATAATAAATAAGCAGGCCATTATGGTCGTGAAGCGGTGTAGAGGTGAAGAAGAGCAAGGTAGTGGGGTAGTTATGTGGAAGAGATGTCGTGAGAAGAAAACAGTAAGAAAGCAAGAGACGGCTATAAATGAGAGAAAGATGGAGGGGACAGAGAAAGTCTTAAATGTAACAAAGTAAACATTATAGCGCCTTATTGTATTAAGGGGTATGTAAAAATTAGTGTGTGTGTGTGTGTGTGTCTATCCCTTAATATTATAAGGCAATATAACATTTACTTCGTTACCTTTAGGATACTTATTTTTAAAACAAATATTTTACAACATTTCTAACAACAACGCAATAAGGACACCTACGGTGCTCCATTCGTAGAATAGATTGTTTCTACCCCATAACGCCCGAGAAACCCCCACGCCCTGGTCTGGCCTTAACGCACCCCCGCGTCTCCTCAAATTCCTATACCGATCATTTTGGTCATATATTTGACCACAAAGTCAAAAATAAATATTTGTGCGATTGGAGGAGACGCATAGGTGGGTTAGGATTGGGCCAAGTTTGGGGTTTACCGAGCGGCTATGGGGGTAAGAACAAAAAAAATTTACAAACAGAGCACCATAAGTGCAGCGATTGCGTTATTGTAAGAAATAATGTAAACAATTATTGTAAGAATAAGCATCTATCTCTTAAAGTTGCAACAAAATTTTTTTACAACAATTGTACAATACTCTAATTGGGGTACCTACCGTGCTCCGATTGTGAGATTGATTGTTCATACCTCCCGTAACCCCCACGGTAAACAACCCATACTCGTCTAGTCCCCAATGCACCCCCGGACCCCTTCTAATTGTACCAAATTTCATTATGGTCAAAAAATTTACCATAAAGTCAATAAAATGCAAAGTACTCCAATTAGAGGAGGTGCAAGAGTGCTTTAGGGGCGGGCAAGCCGAGACGGGCCGAGAGGGGATATATATATATATATATATATATATATATATATATATATATATATATATATATATATATATATATATATATATATATATATATATATATATATATATTCTTACAACAATGCAATCGGGGAACCTACGGTGCTTTGTTCGTAAATATGATTATTCCTACCCCCGTAACCTCCTGGTAAACCTCCTCGGCCCGTCCCACCCGTAAAGCACACTTGCACTCCCTCCAATGGAATACTCTACATTTTTTTGACGTAATAGTCAATTTTTTTAGCCAAAATGAAGCAATTGGAAGGAGTTAGGGGTGCATTGGGGACTAGACAAGTTAGGGCTGTTTACCGTGTGGGTTACGGGAGGTATGAACAATCAATCTCACAATCGGAGCACTGTAGGTACCCCAATTAAAGTATTGTACAATTGTTGTAAAAAAAATTTGTTGCAACTTTAAGAGATAGATGTTTATTCTTACAATACTATGAGGCGCTATAACGTTTACTCCCTTACCTTTAGGACTTTCTCTATTGCTTCCATCTTTTTCTCCATTGTAACCATCTTATACTTTGTCACCGTTTTCTTCTAACAACATCTCTTACCCATCACCACCCTACTTCCTTGTTCTTCTTCACCGCCCCATGACCACCATTGCCTTCTTATTTATTACTTGCCCTACTAATTCGGCTTTCCTTGTTTGTCTTTCGGCCTCGAGGTAAAGATCTATTTCTTCTTTTCTTTTTTCAGCCAATTCCATTTTTGAAATTCTTAGAATTTCAATTTAGTGAGACTAGGCCATGCACACAGGTTCTTTAGTTGTTGTCCATTTGATTTTTAACATACTTCTGTGTTGCTCTCTTTTTGTTAATAATTTGATTTTTATATCTTCTTTTTAGGTATTGATTTTTGTACACTTTTGTTTTATTTTGAATAAGGGAAAGCGATGAGAAGTGGATGCATAATATTTTTAACCATGCTTGAAAAAAAAACTGGTTCAAAGCTAGTGTTTTATAAATTAGAGCACAACTGCAGGAAGCATATATAGTATTAAACCATACCGGTTACTTAATTGGTGCCGCTATGATTTTTATGAGATTTCAATTTTCCTCTTTATTGTTACTAATTTCAGTTTTTACTGTATTATTTGGTGCTCCATTCATTTTGTCTAGGCATTGAATTAATTACGCCCTGATCATTTAGTCTATGCATTGAAATAAGACTGAACATAGAAAGCATTTGTCCTCCATTCATTTTGTCTAAGCATTTTGTCTTAGCATACTATTATGATAAGAAGTATGAAGGTAAAAACATACTCGGTGAGGCTTTATGACTAAAAGAGGTTTCTTGTTTTGAATCAATAGATTTTTACTGCTAAATGGTTAGGTTTTGATCGGAGATTCTCTCAAGTTAGAGTAGATGTATATGTTGTTACTTAGTATCAAGCAGTTCTTTTTTTATGTGACCATTGTTATATAAGAAGTATGTAGGTAAGACATACTCTGTGAGGCTTTATGACTTAAAGAGGTATCTTGTTTAAATTCAATAATTTGTTTACTTAAGATAGAACTTGTTCATCTGATAGTTATAGTAAAATAAGGCAATGATAGTCTCTATGTGCCCTCTGTTAGTCTAACTGGTGCTTTTATTGAATTGCAGGACAACAACAAATGCCTTTTAAGGTAAACAAACTTCATTATAATTCAGACTGCGTCACCTCCAAGAAACTGTCACTACGCTTCTGCTTGGTCACAAGTCCCGCACCTGCATCCGCTTCCTCCCAAAGAGTAGCACCATAATCAATCAGTTTGCTGCCACTATGTTAACCAACTCCCCCATCAAAACGTAGCCAAGGTAAACCAATGTCCGGACCACTCCTACGACCACCCGCCAGATGATGAGTCCCAACAACGTCCAAACTTCGTGCTTCTCCTTTGTTCCCTACCGATCAACTCCATTCTACTTCATCGCTGGTCCTTGACAGTAATGGGAGATCTTCGCCAATGTCAGGTCTGTTAGATTTCTTTCAAATTTCAATTGGTTTTGCGATTATTTGACGATGGGTACTACATGATTAATTGATCATTCTGTTTTAGTTCAAAAGTATTCGTGAGATGTTCCTTAATATGTGTACCAAAGTATGATTTTACTATTATAGCAAGGATTTAATTATAAGGAGCGAGTTACAGACTGTTCTCCTATCCTTCCAACCACAAGAGAGGAAGGATCCATATCTTCTTTTATCATCAGTAATGTGTTTGCAACACATTTACTTTTTTTTTAAATGCATTTTATTAAATAATTAAAGAATACAAACGTCTGAACAAGCGGGAACAGGCTCCTCACTTGTATAAAAAGTAAGCAACAACCAAAGAACTATAATGTGAAGCGCTTATCGGATATTGAACATAGACTTAAGTGCAATTACAAAGCCGGCTCAAAACATTCCACTTAGATCTAGGAATAAAATCATTCCCGGAGCCTCAACCCCCGCAAGGGTAAGGCCTAAGGTCAGATAATCCGATCAAGAAAAAATGTTCTAAGCCAAGAACTGCAATCGACATAAGTCCAGTCTAAAATCCAGAAAAGCCCCACTAAAGAATGAATAAAATAATATGTGCAAAAATAATCCAAGTGAGCCAGGTAGAGCCCAAAACTGGAAAAGCCCAAACCATGAAAGAAGGCATGTGTGCTAGTCCAAATCCGCATCTGAAGCCCGACCTGAGGAGACCCAAACCATGAGCATCAGCGACCAGCCCAAGTGCATCGGTCCCATCCGTCAAGGTGAGCAGCCCATCCGCCAATGCCACGGCCCAACTAGAAGTCTCAACCCAACCAAATCCAAGTAGTCCAGCCGTGTAGAAATCCATGAAAGTCCAAAATCCAAGAAAATAACCAGTGAAGCAGTCTCAACACATTTACTTTGGAGAGGTTCAAAAATGCAAAGTGGAGAAATACGTTGGGACAATCAGAGTATAATGATAACTAGAGAAACTACGTGAACAGATGGCTAAATATATTATTTAAAAAAATCATTCTCCATTGGAATGAGATTCATTTCCTCAAGACTTCCGTGTTCAGCTCAATCAGAAGAAACATATAATGTAATGACATTTCCTGCACAAGTCAATTGTGATCTCATGAAACCGTGAATACCAGGCAATTACCTCCTTGCCTGGATTTTGATTGAAATTTTCTATTGCCAAAGTGCACTTGATGTCAAGATTATTCTCTTAAAGAATAACACGAGTACTTGATTTACTATTGTTTTTTTTTGTCTAAATCGTTTCCAGCACAAGCTTTGGGTAAAAAAAAAATTTGAGTTGTTAGGGTGTCAAATCAAGATTGAATTAGCTCGCTTTGGTCTATGACTTTTGACTAGTTTAATTACATCATCACCTGATATTTGCTGGCATGGTAGTATATAAATGTGAGGTTATTGTCTTTAGAAGACATGTTTATCCCTCCCTAAAAACTGACTACCTGAAATCAACCTGATCTGAAAGTTAACCCAAAAAAAAACTGAATCTTGTTCACTCAAACTCTATCTTGAACCGAATCCCATCTGAATAACTAGATTCGGAAGTCTGTATGTAAAGTAAAATGCCTAATCTTTCTATGAACCCTCTATATTTTGTGATGAAATGTTTGTAGTAACAATGGTATTGATTAAATTACACAATGGCGATGGTGGGGATTTGTGTACTGAAAAGATGGCTGTCAAGTAATGGAGATTGGTCTGAAAAAGATTACAAATCATGTCCTGTTAACATCCCAGGAAAATGTGGCTCTTTGATGAATGTTGAGTATTTTTTTTCAATGATTTCCTTGTTTTATTACTACTACCACTGTTGTTATTGTTAGTTTTATTTAACACACTTAAACTTTGTTCTACCAGGTGTAAGTGTGACGAAAGAAGTAGCTCCGCCAGAATTTCAACTCAACCTGGGAATTCAATCTTCCTTGGGACATTCAGCATACCCCAGGACTCTATTCTGCCCTGGGACTCCAAACCTCCCCGGGACCCCAACCCATTTCGGGGCACTACTCTACCCCAGGACCCCAATCCGACCCAGTGCTCTAATCCAACCCAGGGCATCACACCGCTCCGGAAACCAAACTACCCCGGGAACCCAAACAACTCCGGTATCTCAACCCTTCTTCCCCGGGAACCCCTCTCAGATCTTAATCAACGTCCACAAAGAGCCTGCAAACCAAATCCCAAATACTTTGGGCATGAATTTCAGGCTCATCTCACCACAGCCCACCCCATCACCCCCATACTTGAGCCAAGAAACATTGCCCAAGCTCACAAAGGCACCCGCTTGCGTGAAGCTAGGGATGCGATATACCACCAGGCACGTATGAAAAATGGCAAGTGATTAGCCATGAGAAAAGAGCTTGAATTGTGCATGAGTATCTTCAAGTCCGCTAATCGATCGCAGGAGAAGAACCCTGGATACGCTCTAGTGATTTTTGAATTTCTGCTTAAATTAAGACAATCCTATTCCCATGAATCTTAGGGAATATGTTCATACGGATGCATGGCCAACAAACTACGTTTCGCGCTCTTTTTTGTGCATCGACTTTGGATCCAAGTCTAATAGGTTTGCAAAAACCCAGGATTGCAAGTTGCAACAATTTTTATGCACAGAATGCATGCATTTCATGGAAACTATTTTCGTATCAACACAAAAGGTTGAAGCGAAAAATTTACATCAGTGTTACAATGCT